TAAATAAATATCGTACTAAGGCACACTGCCTTTACAATATGGAAATGAAATACTAATGTCTGAATAAAAATGTAAAATCTACTCTGCCTTTACAATATGGAAATGAAATACTAATGTCTGAATAAAAATGTAAAATCTACTATGGAGCCTCTTTTAATACTCATGTGACGGCGACTATGCAAGAACTCCGTCATCCTGGGGCTCTTCGTACCTTTGTACCGCCTGAAAGAAGAGAAAATAATAAAAAGAACCATATAAAGAGCGTCAGAGCACTACAGCAAGATCACCTCTATCCGTCCCCAGGGGAAGGGCTGCTAAATGGAGTGGAGGCTCTATCTATTAAGCATAGTCTACCTAGATTCATTTTTCCTGTATCTAAGTGGAATTAACATTTTAAAACCTACAGCACGAGATGTAGTACGTCGAGTGAAATATTCCAAACAAGGAAACCCACATGTATATACCATATGTCTCAAATTGTAGATATCTAAACATTAACACCGAACTAAGAATAGACAATCTAATAAAATCAACAATTAGAAATTCACAACACGAGACTAGTACGTCAAGCGAAATAATCCAAACAAGAAAACTCTTATGTATATACCATTGTCTCAAATTGTGAATCGCTAATCATTGATTCCAACTAATAAGTAAAGAAAACAGTAAAGAAAATATAAGGACATCATTACATTGTATTTATGATACTTTCCACAAATCACGGGGGAGATAAAATAAATACCAACATATAATCCTGTATACTTTCAAGAGAAAAGTATCTCGGTCATATATCTCAAAGATGAGTTGAACTCACAACTGACATCCGCCTAAAATTTAGGCTATAAATCAACAATCTCAATGTCACGGACTACCTTGTAGGTATCCTGAACTGTGTACATGGCTCATTAGTCTCATCGCGATCTCAGCACGTAGCCTGAGTATGGGACGACCTACCATATAGGTATCCAAATAGATGGCTCACAATCACCATAAATATACGGCTTACCAGCCTCATCGCACACTCGAGTGGACGGACTACTATACAAAGCATCCAAACCCGACTCAATAGCCTGTACATATGGAATATTGACGCACTACCTCATGTAGCACTGAACTAGGCTCATCAACGATATCCATCTTATCAAAAATTGTGTATATCTGGTATATCGACATACTATCCTATATAGTACTGAGCTGTACTCATTAACGATATCCAACGAGTGTATGAACAATTACTACTCTATTATAAACAACCCAACTCTTGTCAAAATCCCTTTTTGGGATACTCATGTGTATGTATTGACATTGTACTTGTGTATTAGTGAATTTACATGTATAGGAGTGCGGTTCAAACCCCACAAACACATCTCAAACAAAACAAAACAAAACTCAGGAAATCAGCCTGAGTAGTCGACTACTAGCCTGAGTAGTCGACTACTCTGAGTTCAGCCAGAATCTAGAAAATCGAACTAAGTGTGAGTAGTTGACTACTATACATATTAGTCGACTACTCTGCTATGTGAAAGTTTCTGTGTAATGTATTTTGAGACATAGTAGTCGATTACTCATCTTAGTAGTCGACTACTCTGCATGCAACTGCAAACTGATATGCGCAAATAGGAAATTAGCTAAACAACTTGCACTTATGCAAACTTAAACAGGATTTACACGATTTGCCCACATTAAACAGAGATTAACATGATCATAAACATAGAATTATCTTGGTTCAATTAAAGTTAACATCTTTATTAATAAATGTCTTCAATTAACAACATATAAGCAACATGATTATGAAAACATGATGAAAACTACACATGACAGATTTATATTTCATTTTAAATCTAATTACAAAGCCTAGATATCACAACCCTAAGTGTTAGCATGATAATATACAAGAAAAACTCAATTACTTATCAAATTAGGGTTTTCACATGGGTTAAACTTAATTAAATAAGGTAAAAACAAAATTTACATTAACCCTAATGATCATGATCATATTTCTAATGTTAACAGTAAGAAAAATATCATATCTAACATAGGTTACAGATCTATTATAAAAAATCTATCTTTTATCACATCAAATTGAGAATTAAGCATATAAACTTGGATTTAACACTTTAAATCATGAAATTGAGAATTAAGCATATAAACTTGGATTTAACACTTTAAATCATGAAATTACTAAGGGTGCAGGAGTGGATGAAGATGATCTTGTTGGATTTAACACTTTAAATCATGAAATTACTAAGGGTGCAGGAGTGGATGAAGATGATCTTGCCTTAGAGTGCTGCTGGAATCCTCCACCATGTGTATGCAAGATCCCCCTTCAACCACGATCACAAAAACTCCGCCTTCCTCTCGACAAATACCTCGAAACTCTCTCAAAAACTCACAATTAGGATTAGAGTTTGAAGAGGAAGGTGGCTGGTGTTAAACTCACGTGAAAGAGGGTAAAAAAGGCTTTAAAACGAGTATATATACACATATATACAATTGGGTTCGAAACAAAACGAATATGACCCGAAATCTAAAAGAAAAACTAAAAACAACCCCGATAATCGACTACTACTCTTAGTAGTCGACTACTAAGCTGATTAGTCGACTACTCTGAGTAGTAGTTGACTACTAACAGCCCTGAAATAGGTTTGTGCATGTTTTTGTGCATGGTTTGGCTATAACTTTCACATCTGATATCGGAATGAGAGGATTTAAGATGTGTTGGAAACCTATTGAAGATACCTACAACTTTTGTCTTTTGAGTTTTTCCAGATTCGAACTGTGTCTATGTGTAAAATATAAATACTCTTAACTGGTCATTTTTCTAGATTCAGGCTTGTGCATGATTTCACTCCTATATTCACATATATATATTGATTTGATCTCAAATCAAATATTAGCATACTCAAACATCAATATATATGTTATTTATAACCATATAACATATTTATTATTATTTATCATAATATATTCAAATTTACGGGGTTTTACAAAGGGCTTGTCCATGATGATCGATGAGAGCCGTAGGAATCGACCATATGTTGTGCCTTGGGCTTACCTTGATAAAGAGCCAAGGACTTGTTTATCCAACTGAGGAGTCATTGTGCCTTGGGTTTACCCTGAAGAGGTACCAATGTCTTGATATTCGACTGAGGAATCATTGTGCCTTGGGCTTACCTTGATAAAGAGCCAAGGGCTTGATTTTCACGGCATGATGGTCGAGTAGCACTGGAGGATTCGACCATTTGTTGTGCCTTAGGCTTACCTTGATAAAGAGCCAAGGGCTTGATTGGGGTGCCTAGGTCTTATATGACATCTAGGTCATTGGCCATAGTGAAGCCTTGATCCTTGCGAGATCAGAGTTAATTCATATTGAATAATATTTTATTAGTTCTGTATTTTACATTGTCATGAAAAATATTCTTTGTAGGCATTTGATGCTTGAAGGGGGTTGAACCACTTGTGATCTTGCTTTGGCTCTGCTTCAAAGACAATTTTGTAGTGGGTGAGGTTGCCAGTACAGAACCTCTTTTAGTTGGATTTTGCTTGCTTTCATTGTGGACAACTTGTTAGTATGACGAAGATGAGTCGAAACTCTATTTGCCATCTCATCAGCCGAGGTTTCTTTTGAGTCCGAAACTTCAGTAAGGCCTTGAAGGCTGATGGTTGGCATGCCAACTTTTGGCGAAAGGAACTGCTCATACACCATGAATTATGTCGAATGGCGTTTTCCATGTGAGGATTGAGAGAACGACCAGAAGCTACATGGTACCTTTTGTGGTGGAAACTCTATTGGAGAAAGAATCCACCAGCCGGTATTGTACTCCCTAAAAATGACAAACCATGGTGGTTTTCTTGAAGGAGCTTCGGGAGCATTGGGAACTGGACCATGCTGTGAATAGAGAACTCTCCTTTATGGGGATCATGCGGGTCGCATGCTTTGACCACCATAGCTGAGGTTGCTCTGGTGGTGCTTGTTCATGGAGCGTAGGGCTGTTAATCTTCCTGAGAAGATCAGTTGACAAGCCCTCACGTTTTTCCCATAATCTCATCCTAGTCCGATAGGAGTTTTCTACAAAGAATCTCCATGATCCTAGGCGCCTATCACAGACTTAATCACTGCTCCTTATGCTCATATGAGCTATTGCCAGTGGGAGCTTCAATGATATTGGATCTACTCATAACCCTTAGAGGAGGTAGGGTTCGACTTTGTGAGCCAACTCCAGGTTTCTTGGTTGTCCAAAAGATGGAGTTTGTCTGGAGTTCGTCTATGGCGGCGATAAGAAGCCTGTGCCGCATGTTCATGCCAGATAATCACCATAGTGGTGTGTCTTCTCCAGGAGGGCTTTTGGGATTCTGGAAGCGGTCCCATCATCTGGTGGATGACCTGTTTGGCAAATGCTCCCCAGAAAGTTATAGGGGCCCTTGAGGTCTACGCCTATGATGGTTCCTCATAGCCATAGGCTTATCCTCCTTAGCTTGAATGATGCAACTCCGAGCTTCGCTTAGCTTGAATGGTGCAATTCTGGTGTTGTTCTTCAGGGTGATTAAAATCAAACCATTGTTCAGAACTTGGCATGTCTTTCCGAAAAAGAGGAAAGGCCCCACGGTGGGCGCCAAACTGTTGATGCTCGATATCAAACAGACTATTAATCCAGAAGAGGATTGTTGCGGGGTGATGAAGGATGATGGAGGGCTCGTTCCCTTCTTCGACTTTATGCCTGGTTCTTGAGCAGGGGTCTGAAGTCCGTGCTGCACAGACAGAAAAAACTCGTGAGAGGGCGGGGACCGATTCCCCATGATTCCTCTGACGATCAAGTCAGTTGATAAATATGAGCTTGAGTGGAGTTTAGAACTGTGTTATTATGCTATGTGTGTTAGAGATAATCATCTCTCAGATTAGGTCCAGAGGAAGATTTAGATTGCTCAACTTTGGCTATGGTGAATAGCATCTGCATATAAAGAGGATGCCAATGGCAGATTGGTTATTTCGGCCATGCAGAATGACGGTGACAAAGTGTGAGCTGGAAGGTGAGTCATCCCTCGTTTTACAGGTGTCGGTTGGTGACTGGAGGGGAATTCATCTCAGCATGGGAGATGGCATCTCCGCGATATCCGGGAAGTGACTTACGAGCGTGGCAGAAGGCACTTGGGCAATCTAAATCTTCCTCCGGACCTAATCTGAGAGATGATCATTTCTAATGCACATAGCATAATAATACATAGTTCTAAACTCCACTCAAGCTCACGTTTATCAACTGACTTGATCGTCGGATGAATCACGGGGGAACCGGTCCCCGCCCTCTTACGAGTTCTTTCTGTCTGTGCAACGCGGACTTCAGACCCCTGTTCAAGAACCATGCATAAATTCGAAGAAGGGAACGGGCCCTCCATCATTGATATCTCGCTATTTGATCTATTTTCCGACCAAATTTTGTACCAAAACCCGTGTTTTAAACCACCAAATCGTGTCTATTTCATTGAATATCTATAGAATGTGGTACTGCTGCGCTTTTATTCTTATTTTGCAGAAAACTGGTGAAATCAGGGAAGAATGTGGAATTTGAAGGTCTACACACGGGCCGCGCAACATCTGATGCGGGCCGTATCGCACCCTGGCCCCACCACAGACGCGACCACTCATCATTCACTCGAGAGACACAGGAACACGACCCGTATAGCACTCGACGCGGGCCGTGTCAGGCATTCCCGGAAACAAAATTGAATTTTGGAAATAAAGGCCAAATGAAGGAAGGTCGGCAAAAGCTCTATATATACGAGATCCTGAGCAACAAAGGGGGGATCTTGGACGTTTCTGGAGCGAAGGAAGGGAATTCTAGGGTTTGACCTTGGCGGCTAAGCTTGGAGACGAAGTTGAGAAGCGAAAGACGGGAATTTTCGGCGGATCTTCTTTGTTCTTCGGGTTTTGTCATGGATACTTCTTTTATTATCTCTTATATTTGTTTTAGAACTATGTTTGAGTAGACTTTATTAGTTTCCTGGGTTGTGATGTAATCGAATGTTTTGTTTTGCATGTCAGTTATTGGATTTTTGTGTTGAAACATGTGTTTGCTTGATTGTGTTTGATTTTAATTGCTTAGATTAAATTGTTTGATTTATACTGGTTTACCACTAGATGCATGGCCACATCTAGAAGGTACTTTGGCTCTTATAATCTCTCAACCAAACTAAGTACATGAGGTAGGATTAGTGATCCGAAAGGTGAAACCAAGTAGTAACTGACAGGTGAACAATTCCTCATATCGACGGATAGAGGTTACCTTTAGTATACCAAACAAGCAGCTAGGTAATTCAGACCAATATACGACAGTTGAGGTCTAGAACCCGACGAGGGCAGATATTGCAATTCCATACCAAGTTAATGAACCAACAAACGACAGTTGAGGTTTAGGAACATTAGGTCTGGTCAGTAAAACCCTACACAAAGGAACAACACAAGGAATTAGTAACTGCTGCATTCACTCGGGGACCACACGGACTGTGTACGATAGTACCCGGCCCGTGTACACTGACACGGCCCGTGTAGGACACTACACGGACCGGGTACCTCGAGGCAGAACTGAGATAAAGTCATAACCCTGGAAACGCCTTTTTACTATTGATTAAAACCAAGTTAACTTACTTTCTTACATTTAATTATTGTTATCGAATTGTTAGGACTATAAATACCCAAAACCAACTTTGCAGAACTTCTAGAACTGAGTTAATCTAAGTAGAGTCTAGTCTGGTTTCAGCCGTCCTGTGGATCGATACCTGAATATACTGCTCGATAGGATTGTACACTTGCAATCCGAATCGAAAGGTGTAACCAAGGTTTAAAAAGTATAGCTTGCTATACTGAAACTTTGTGCATACGCTTTTGTGTGAACAAGTTTTTGGCGCCGTTGCCGGGGACGGCATTGAAACTACTGACTTTTGCTTATTTTATTAAGTCTAGATTTTAATTGTATCTTCTCTCTTATCGTTCTCTCTTTCAGGAAAGCTGGCATTCGTACCTCCACACAAGGGCGATTATAGACTGAGGAGCAAAGGACCACTTTCCGACACGGAGACTCCTTCAGACTCAGCTATTCCTGTGCAACCACCTCTCCACGCGGACCGCACAGACGATACACGGTCCGTGCACTCTGAACATCCGAGCCGAGCAGAGATGAGTAACCACAGTGACCACGGAGAGGACAGGCAAGAGGACATGACTGATGATCTCTCTGATGATGGCATGGCCGACTTCGTGCCAAGGACTCTGCGAGAGTTTAATGTCCCGAGAGCTGGAGACGTGAAGGGAGCAATCAGGCTGCCAAGAATTGTGGGACAGCAACCGAACTTCAATCCGGGTGTTGTTAACATTGTGCAGCAGAACACTTTCCATGGCTTGGATCATGAGGATCCACATGCCCATCTGCAAACTTTTCTTGAGTGCTGTACCACCATTAAGACCAATGGGGCAACAGCCGATTACATTAGACTTGCTTTGTTTCCTTTCACACTTAGGGATAAGGCCAAGAAATGGTTAGGGTCATTACCAAGAGATTCTATTACCAACTGGAGGGAATTATCAAAGTTATTTTTGACTAGGTTTTTCCCTCATAAAAGAACTGCCAAGGTAAGAACCCAACTAACCAGCTTTAGGCAAAGGTCTGATGAACCCCTAAATGAGGCATGGGAAAGGTTTAGGGAGTTACAGTACTCTTGTCCCCATCATGGTATTCCTGATTGGTTGTTGATTCAAACTTTTTATGATGGTTTAACTGAAAGCACTCGCACATCTATTGATGCTGTTGCAGGTGGAGCTTTGATGGAAAGGGAACCTCATGAAGCTATGAACCTGATCGACAACATGGCTCAGAACCAACAGTGGTCCGGCCGCGACAACACCCGAGTTGGAGGAGGCGGCCGATTTGAGGTTGATCAGATCACTGCTCTATCAGCCAAGCTGGATGCTATGCAGAAGGCTTTTGATAAGATGAGTGTGAAGGCAGTCAACCAGCAGCCACAATCCTGTGTCATGTGTGGAGTTGAGGGACATGCTTATGAGCAATGTCCACTGGCGCAAGTTGATGGAGAGATCGAACAAGTCAACTCTCTCAACAATGAACCATCCTATTTTCCGAAACCTCCTTTCAACCAATCCTACTCCAAAGACCCGGTTGAGCAACAAAACTGGAGGTGGAAACAGAACAACCCTGCGCCATTCAACAATTCCTCCAACCCCTCTTACAACAACTCTTTCAACAACCCCTCGAGCAACAACAACAACCGGAACTTCTACCAGAATGCTGCATTTCCCAACTCGAACAACCGAGCACATCAATCTGGTCCTCCCAAGCCATATATCGCTCCCGCTGTGAGTGACTTCATGCATGAGCAGGGGAAAATGAACCAGATGATCTTCGAGCAAATGCAAGCATTGAATGCTCAACTGGCTGCTCAGAGTAAGATGATGGAGCAAATGGGTCACCAGACCGCCTCAAGCCAACCACAACCTGGTAAGCTTCCCAGCCAACCAGAGGTGAACCCCAGAGGAGAGGCTAAGGCAATCACGCTGCGAAGCGGGGCCCATTACCAAGGACCAACCATGCCAGCAGACCAAACTGCCAAGCACACGGACCGCGCAGATCTCACACGGACCGTGTCACCACTTGAAGAAGAAAACCCTGACCGTGTCGAATCGACTCGACCAGCAGTCAGCATTGAGAACCCTGTGAACACGGACCGTGCCACTGACACGCGGGCCGTGCAGAAAGAACCTGAAAGTCATAAGAAGAAAGGGGCCGAGAAACCACCACCATACCGGCCACCTGTACCCTTCCCCCAGAGACTAGCTGAGACCAAATTGAACGAGCAATTCGCCAAATTCATCGATGTTCTCAAGCAACTGCACATCACCATCCCATTCACCGAGGCTTTGATCCAAATGCCCACCTACGCCAAGTTTCTCAAGGACATCCTATCCAACAAGCGAAGCTTGGGGGAGCACGAGACGGTGAAACTGACGGAACAGTGCAGTGCCATTCTGAGAAGTGAGCTACCACCCAAACTGGAAGACCCTGGTAAGTTTTCTATTCCTTGCGCTATAGGGAAAGCCACGATCAAGAAAGCTCTATGCGACTTGGGAGCTAGCGTGAGTCTCATGCCACGCACCATCTTTGATCGAATGGGAGTAGGTGAGCTCAGACCTACGCGAATGACTCTTCAGCTAGCAGACTCCTCGGTAAGACTACCACTCGGCATAGTGGAAGACGTGCCAGTTCAGGTTGGTAAATTCTATGTACCTGCGGATTTTGTTGTTATGGAAATGGAAGAGGATAAGGAAGTCCCTATCATTCTGGGACGACCTTTTCTGAGAACAGCAGGTGCGATAATTGATGTATTTAAAGGAACACTGACCTTGAACATTGGAGAGGAGAAAGTGCGATTCCAAATTGACCGAGCCATGAAGTACCCCTCACCTGCCGAATCTTGCTTCAGAGTAGATGTGATCGAAGAATGTTTAGCAGATTTGGCCGAGGACTACTTTCTTCAGCAAGTCAATAGCTCACTAAGGTATCATTCTGATTTTTTATCTGAGATGCAGGTTGAAACAAGCGAGTTGGAATCAATATGTGCAGCAGATGCAAAAACTAACAATCTGGAGGAACTTGGACACGGACCGGATGGATCCCACACGGACCGTGCACCATCGTACGAAGGCCATGAGAATGAAGAACACGGGTCGGATAGGGCTGACACGAGGGCTTCACACGGACTGAGCACATCTGATACGGACCGTGCAAAGGCCCAGACAGAGCAGCCAACTCCTAAGCTCAAGCCTCTTCCAGCCAACCTCAGGTATGAGTACCTAGGCCCAGATAAGTCTTGTCCTGTGATTGTAAATGCAGGTTTAAACCCCGATCAAACCGCCAAACTCTTGGAGAAGCTGAAAATTCACAAAGGCGCAATCGGGTATTCAATCAAGGACCTGAGAGGGATCAGCCCATCTATCTGCTCGCACAGGATCTTACTGGAAGATGATCACAAGCCCTCTGTTGAACACCAGCGACGGCTCAACCCAAATCTGAAAGAGGTAGTAAAAAAGGAAATCTTAAAACTTCTTGATGCAGGTATTATTTACCCGATTTCTGACAGCGAATGGGTGAGCCCTGTCCATGTGGTGCCAAAGAAGGGAGGAGCAACAGTGGTAAAGAATGAGAAGAATGAGCTGATCCAAACACGTGTGGTGACTGGCTATAGGATGTGCATTGACTACAGGAAGCTCAATGCAGCCACACGCAAGGATCACTTTCCATTGCCATTTGTTGACCAACTCCTCGAAAGGCTTGCTAATCACTCTTATTTCTGTTATCTTGATGGTTATTTTGGTTTCTTTCAGATACCCATCCACCCACAAGACCAAGAAAAGACAACTTTTACCTGTCCATATGGTACATATGCATATCGTAGGATGCCCTTTGGTCTTTGTAATGCACCAGCCACTTTTCAAAGAGCCATGATGGCTATCTTTTCTGATTTTATCGAAAATAAAGTTGAGATTTTTATGGATGATTTTTCTGTCTATGGTGCTTGTTTTGACTCTTGTTTGACTAACCTGTGCAAGATTTTGCAAAAATGCGAAGAAGTGAATTTGATTCTCAATTGGGAGAAGTGTCACTTCATGGTCCAAGAAGGTGTTGTTCTGGGACATGTTGTGACATCCAAGGGAATCGAGGTTGACAAGGCGAAGATTGAAGTGATTGAGAAGCTTGCAATCCCAACATGTGTAAAAGGGGTTCGAAGCTTTCTAGGTCATGCAGGATTCTACCGCCGCTTTATCAAGGACTTCTCTAAGATCGCGAAACCACTGACCAATTTACTCATTAAGGATTGTAATTTTGTTTTCACTGATGATTGTGTCAAGTCTTTTTGCAGTTTGAAGGAAGCCCTCATTTCAGCGCCTATTTTGCAACTACCTGATTGGTCTCTGCCGTTCGAGCTCATGTGCGATGCAAGTGACTATGCTGTGGGAGCAGTTCTTGGGCAAAGGAAGGACAAGAAGCCATGTGCTATCTACTATGCTAGCAAAGTGCTAGACCCAGCCCAGATGAACTACACAACCACCGAGAAGGAGCTTCTAGCAATTGTGTTCGCTCTTGACAAGTTTAGATCATATCTGGTTGGCTCGAAGATAATTGTTTACACGGACCATGCCGCACTCAGGTATTTGCTAAGTAAACAAGATGCGAAACCTCGTTTGATTAGATGGATTCTTCTCTTGCAGGAGTTCGATATTGAAATCAGGGACAAGAAGGGAGTCGAAAATACTGTGGCTGACCATCTATCCCGACTTCGCTGGGAGGATGAGGGGTCTGCCAACTTGCCAATCAATGACTCGTTCCCTGATGAGCAACTCCTTTCAGTTTCTGTTCTGGATGACATCGACACGGACCGCACAAGATCTCACTCGGTCCATGCACTGCAGCACCAGGGCCGCACGACCAAGCACACGGACCGTGTGACCACCAAGTCAGTCCCTTGGTATGCAGACATCGCAAACTTTCTCGCTTCTGGGGTGTTACCTGCCGCCATGACCTACCAGCAGAGGAAGAAGCTCCGATCAGATGCCAGGTACTATTTTTGGGAAGAACCATTTCTTTTCAAAGTAGGTGTTGATGGTATCTTCCGACGCTGTGTGCCGTACGAGGAGACGCGCTCCATTCTTGAGCATTGCCACTCATCCGCTTATGGGGGACATGCTTCGTTCTCCAAAACAGCCACCAAGGTATTGCAATCTGGTTTCTTTTGGCCTTCTATTTTCAGGGATGCAAGGACCTTTATCTCGGCTTGCGACAAGTGTCAACGGACCGGAAATATCACCAAGCGCAATGAGATGCCTCTTCACTCCATTCTTGAGGTAGAGATCTTTGATGTGTGGGGTATTGATTTCATGGGACCGTTCCCATCATCATGTGGGAATGAGTACATCCTGGTTGCCGTAGATTATGTGTCCAAATGGGTCGAAGCAGTGGCATGTCGAAAGGCAGACTCAAATGCAGTAAAGCGACTGTTCACTGACATCATTTTTCCTCGCTTTGGAGTGCCACGAGTGGTTATCAGTGATGGAGGCAAGCACTTCATCAACCGACAATTCAACAGTCTCTTGAGCCGTCATGGGGTAACACACAAGGTAACAACTTCTTATCACCCTCAATCTAATGGACAAGCTGAGATTTCTAACAGGGAAATCAAGTCTATCTTGGAGAACACTGTGGCAAGGACACGGAAGGATTGGTCGCTCAAGCTTAATGATGCACTCTGGGCGTACCGAACTGCCTTCAAGACACCGATTGGGATGAGCCCTTTCAAGCTGGTGTACGGAAAGCCATGCCACTTACCTGTGGAGATCGAGCACAAAGCATTCTGGGCCACACGAGCCATCAACATGGACATGCTTGCAGCTGGAGAGAAGCGCATCCTTGATTTGCACGAGTTGGAGGAGATGCGCCTACATGCTTACGAGAATGCAAGAATCTACAAGGAGAGAACCAAGCGAATTCATGACAAGCGCATCGCGCCTTGCGAATTCAAGGTAGGTGATCTTGTACTCTTGTTTAATTCTAGATTGAGACTTTTTCCAGGTAAGTTGAAGTCCAGATGGTCCGGCCCATTCCACGTGAAGAGAGTGTACCCTTTTGGTGTGATTGAGATTGGGAATGACGAGAGCAGGACTTTCAAGGTCAATGGTCAGCGTCTCAAGCACTACGTTGCTGACCATCCCCAGAACGAGCGGTTTGATCAAGATCTCTCTGATCCCGCTCCAGCCGAGACTTAGAGAGAGGTGGTCAAGCTCGAGACCTAAAACAAGCGCTTCTTGGGAGGCAACCCAGGCTTGATCAGGTTTGTTTTCTTTTCCCCTGGCTTTTACATTTTTCCATCTATCTGTCTTGAAGCATTGAGGACAACGCTCAGACTAAGCTTGGGGGGAAACTTTGCATTTTAGGACATGTTAACTTTTTATTTAGGTCATGTTTACTTTTTCTTGCATTTGTAGGTGAAAATTTGCGTGATTGCTTGAATTAGGGACTTTTGTGAAAATTTTTGGTAGTGATTGGGATGACCTTGAGAAATTAGAACTAACCCCATAATTGATCAAAGAACTGAATAGGAAGGAATGTTTTGAGAACTTGAAAAGAATGAAAGTCGAATTGTATCGAAAAAAAAACATTTTTAAACTGAGCTGTGCCTTTTAAAATAAGGATTTGGGATTTTTTAAATAAAATAAAGATTGGGATATCCATTGGTATGAAAGAATACCATTGGATGTGTGTATTCATGGTACATGCAAATGAATTAAAAAAAATGATGGAACAAATGAAAAGATGGAGAAAATAAGAGTACTGGCAATAAGTCCTACGGGGCGCCTTTGAGCTCGTCTCCCAAATTTATAAAAAAATGAGTACTGGCACAATCCTACTGGATGCCTTTGAGCTCGAGAAAACCACAAACAAAAAAAAAATTGCATATATCAACACACGAAGTCCTCGACTTTCTGACCTAAGCTTGTTCCAAGCTTTGGGGAAAAAAAGGGAAAATCACCACAAATGAGGGCATAGTTTCAGTGAAAGAATGAAATATTGATCAATTCGAGTAATTAGTTTTTGCAAATATTAAAACATTTCAGAATTTGAAGTTTGATTAGTCAATTCATGGGGTGAATCAAAATTGATCAAGGAAAGTCCAAATTGTACCCAAAAGGATTCTCGGGGTTCTTGATAAGAGCAGCTAATGTAAATATTCACATTTAAGTACTTAACTTGCATTTAGGTAAGATTAAAGACCAACCCGGTATCTAAGTTTGGATCTTTGCTTGAGGACAAGCAAGATTTCAGCTTGGGGGAATTTGATATCTCGCTATTTGATCTATTTTCCGACCAAATTTTGTACCAAAACCCGTGTTTTAAACCACCAAATCGTGTCTATTTCATTGAATATCTATAGAATGTGGTACTGCTGCGCTTTTATTCTTATTTTGCAGAAAACTGGTGAAATCAGGGAAGAATGTGGAATTTGAAGGTCTACACACGGGCCGCGCAACATCTGATGCGGGCCGTATCGCACCCTGGCCCCACCACAGACGCGACCACTCATCATTCACTCGAGAGACACAGGAACACGACCCGTATAGCACTCGACGCGGGCCGTGTCAGGCATTCCCGGAAACAAAATTGAATTTTGGAAATAAAGGCCAAATGAAGGAAGGTCGGCAAAAGCTCTATATATACGAGATCCTGAGCAACAAAGGGGGGATCTTGGACGTTTCTGGAGCGAAGGAAGGGAATTCTAGGGTTTGACCTTGGCGGCTAAGCTTGGAGACGAAGTTGAGAAGCGAAAGACGGGAATTTTCGGCGGATCTTCTTTGTTCTTCGGGTTTTGTCATGGATACTTCTTTTATTATCTCTTATATTTGTTTTAGAACTATGTTTGAGTAGACTTTATTAGTTTCCTGGGTTGTGATGTAATCGAATGTTTTGTTTTGCATGTCAGTTATTGGATTTTTGTGTTGAAACAT